GAAATCAGCAAAGGTTGCCTATATATTTCTCTAAGTATAGTTTTTTTTCCCCAACAATTAGCTGTTGTAATCTCTATTATAAGGCTAAAATAATTGACCTGTTGTGTTCTCTGGTACAGATGCACTTTAAAACCTCTTTTTCATTTCTAGAGCCCAACAAAACCAGGAAGGTCACAACCATTGTAGAGGAAGTGGTGAACGGTCGGATAGTGTCACAGAAAGTGAATGCTACTGAAGAGAAGTTGAAGATCTAACTGACACTTTTGAAGCACATATAAAAGTTTCATGATGACTCATATGTGCCAGGCAACACTTAGGCCTCATTTAGGACACAGTATCCACAATAGTCTCAGAAATCCAATTAGATGAAGAATGACCCATATGATCAAATGCTCTGGTCAACACACTCAATAAGGTAGTGCTAAGAGGCTGCAACTTACGTCAAGCAAAAGGGTTTATTTTTTTCTGCAGTGAGTTAAATTAAGACAAAATTTCTGATTGGTTTCTCTGGACATGATTGTTCTGCACTGTTTTATTGAATATGTTGATACTGTCTGTGATGGTTCTTCTCTTAGATGCTTTCATAAATGAGGCCTAGTGGTATCAGTGGGAACTTGGTGTGAAGTATCTGTTTCCTTACCTATCCAATAAAGCTTTATTGTGCAAATAATTTCTGCTTTGTGTTCTGATTACTATAACTGAAGGGAAGTCACTATCAGAAAACAAATTAATAGGTGAAATTCATAATGCACATAGCTAAAGTAAACTCATTATATCTGACCTTGACATAATTATAGAGTGAGTGACTAGCCTTTTTAGAGGCTGCAATTTTGTAGTAGCTCCTGGTCACTGTCTCATCTTGGCTGCTCTTTGGGCTACAGGTGAACATTACTACAACAAGTAGGGCCATTCTTCCTTCATTTCAACCTTTCCTCCTAACAATCTAAGCTCCTTAACAAGACACAACTCACCATTGTACATAAGGTACTCCCACTACACTCCTAAATCCAACTCTTAGCTTACATGTTGTTGAATGTATAGGAAAAGGTAATGGGGGGTTGCAAAAATGAAAGGTAAAACTGACTGTTACTTTAACAAAGGAACAAAAAGTTGCTGGTATAAAGTACAGAAACCTAAGATGAAGTGGGAGAGAGGTGCACTGGCTATGGATCCTCTAATACCAATAGAAGGAATTCCTTAGTGGAGCCCAATAGCTTGGTTCTGGCAGCTCTCCACAAGGTGGGGGCTCCTCAAAGGTCAACCAAATTGAGTAGTTTATGTACAGCTGTACCAAAAGTAGTGGCAAAGAAAAGCCCAGCAATGATTTTTTGATTCAATATCTGACCATGGAAAGGACATTGAACATCCAACATGTTTTGGAGACCCATAGATCTTTCATTTCCCCTTGGCTTAAGTACAATGGAATAAATTAGGAATTTAAAGCATCAATGAATGAACAATCAGGTATAAACTAGGTAAGGTGTGGGAAGGTATAGGTACATATTTGCACATCATTATGATTGCCTACCTCACTGGCCAACTAGAATGTGTGAGAGGCAGAAGGAAGTGGGGACCGCTTAACACTATCAGGAAATAAGAGAGCTTTTCTCAATAAGAAAAGTTGGGTATCTGGGCAGAGTACAGATGGAGTAATTTAAAAAGTAAAGGATATATTATTTACCTGGAGTTGCTTTTCATGAAAATAAAAATCATTCTGAGAAAAAACACCAGTAACCCACTCTAGTTAACCCTCAAGGTATCTTGTGATAACCATAGGCATATGGCATAAGCAGGATAACTGTTTTCAAGATTGAAAGTGCATATAAACTTGATATTCAGGCACTTAGATGGTAGTTCTGTTCTTTAGCAAATTTGAGTTTGGATAATTAAACTGTGACCTGGCAAACCCATGTTTAATCTGAGCAGCCAATAAACTTTATTTTCCTAAATGCCTTTTAACTGAATAGGTGTTTGAAGAGAGCATAGATTTGCTGAATTGTTGAACTTAATGGACCTCTTGAGGTGTTAATTCGAACCACACAAGGACCTGTTATGGTAGTGCAAGCTGATAGTAAGGATTATATAACCCAAATCCATGTCTGTTCATCCTTTGCCTAGCTGTAGCTGTGGGATTGCAGGTGGAAATTGCAATCACAAGAGGATTTTAACAAAAGAAGTTTGGATTTAGACTGATACCATTTATTGGCTAATCAAAAGGATTGCAGTGCACATTTTCTAGGTATGCTGGCCTTTTCTTCAGAAGATATTAATTACAGAAGAGACCACTGTGCCTGAAAAGTTTGAATTACAATCTTTTTAGTCACCCCATAAATGCTATTAACCTAAATCTAAACTTCAATTTCGAGACTTTTATTGGGAAACAGTACCCTCGTCATATAGGAAAATGCAGTATGGAAGACTTCACACCACTGCCACAGGTAGAAGACCCTACAATAGTAGGTGACCAACCAGAAGACTGCCCAATTTAAGGTATGTATAAAGGTAATTTCTAAACAAATGCATGTATTTGGGCAGCTCAGAGGTAGGAGATTCTGAGGTATCCAGAAACTGGATGCCTCATTTTTAATGAAGACAGTTGCTTTTTGTTAAGTAAATATATTAATCCACAGCAAAACATCAAGAAGCACCTTGTACTTGGTGATTACAGTGTGGTTACCAAAGGCTAAGCTGCTTAGCTGTTTAGTTTCTAACATTTTACATTTTGGGCCATAAAAAACAATTCAAGCTTGATTGTGGGAGGTCTAACTTTTAACAGATTTAGACATAAAGGGACAAGTCTGTAGAATCCAATTGTTTGGGTGCCATGATAAACTACCTTGTTTTGGTGACAAAAGAAAGTTGGATAATAAATCATATTCTTAGTAGTCAAACAAGATTTCCATACTGTCCAAATGATATATTAGTGAATATAAATTTGGCTGAAAAATTAGTAGGACACTCTATGCCAGCCATGCTCATCCAGGGTTATGTGGAACCCTATCATTCCTCTAGAGGTTGCTCAAGGTTCTTGAGCTGTGGCTAATTGACCTTCCATCTGATTGTGTCTGCATAGTTCCAGGTCCAACGACACTTGGCAGAGCTCTTGCTATGACTGTAAGGGTGACATTTTGATCGCCACTGTAAGGGGATGATATTCTTCCCACGGACCACCACTAACCATTAGAGGTATACTGTGGGCCAGAAAACCATTTGTGGGTGGAAGTACTGGGATTTCGTTCTCCCAGATCACTCACTCTGGAGGTGAGCATCTTAGGTCGTTTGTCTGAATATTTTTGTGTGTGTGCCTGGGCTTGACTGTTTTTTTTTCATTTGTAGCCAATGGACGTTAATTACTAGCAAGTTTTTCGGATGCTTCTATTAATGGGGGCCAAAACAGTTCTGGCCCAAAAGAAGCTTGCACTTTTTCAAACCAGGAGCTTCAAGCGACATTACACTCAGTTGTGAATAGGCATCAATGAATATGATGAAGATCCTAGGGTTGTGCATTGAAGCACTTCTGGTGAAGCTCCAAATCGCCTTTCAACTCCTTCAGGTATGAACAGGGCCTTGGTTGCTTTCAATTAGTATTTTTTGATGTTCAGTCACAAAAGGAAGCGATTAGATAGTCAGAACTATTTTCATTTTTTTCACTTTATTACAGAAACAAATTGATTGTAAAAAATTGGTCACAGTCTCAATTGTAGTTCTGCTCATATTTGAAATATACAGCAAGAAAGCATCGGGCCGGGAACATATACATAGCATTAGTAAAAGGCCTGCATGACTGGGTTTGCTGATCCAGGGCTGTGGAATAGAGAGGGTTAAGAGGGTCGTGTTTTAAATATAGACAGCCTTACCTTATTGGAGGATCATGGGGTGTGGTGGGGAGGGGTCAAACCGAGCTGGAAAGGGGTTTGGTGGGAGGTGGTCTTTCTTGTATCACCATTCCCAGCATGGGCAGCATTGGACGACCTTCTAACACCCACCCTCCCTTTTCTTGTTTCTGTTGGGCAGTTACTGCTGCTCTGTGGTTACAGTTGCATTCGGGGCCAGTGTTGTGAGGATGTTCGGGGAGCTGACATTGGGCGCATTGCTATAGGGGTTTTCTGGTATTGCATAGCAGCGGGCAGAGGTATCAAGGTTTTTGAAGGCGGGGATGGTAAACAGTTTGGGAAGAAAAGGGTTGGGCCCATCTTAGGTATGGGTGTACCTTCCCTTCTAAGTGCAGCACGAATGGGTTCTTGGATTGGTGGGGCTGTATCGGATGGTGACTTAGTAAGGAGTTGTCCCCGAGCAGGTGTATGTGCGGCTGGAGGCCTTAATTTGTAAGATGGTGGCAGATATAGCCGGGTATTAGTTTTCCGTGCCTTCAAAAACCTATCATTTGCGGTATTTTTGCTATGGTCTTACATATGATGAAAAATTGATGTATGTATTTTGTTATGGATGTTATTTAAATAAACTGGCTGCTATGGCCATTTAACCTCCCTAGCGGTCTGATTATGTCCATATGTCTGTGCTCAAAGCGGTACATTTGTTTGCATGGAAACATGTATTTTTTTTATTGTAGGCCTGTAATTTTTAGGAATAACTCACTGAAATCTGTCCGAACAAGAGTCTAGTAAACATCCCGGGTATGATAAAACTTGAAACACGAAATCATAAATTATAATTTAATAAATAATCATAAATAATAATAAATTTAATTCAATAATATAATCAAACCAAAAACACTGAAATTTGAAATATAGCGCCAAGTTCGCACATCACTGACCAAAGACGCAAAATCGTTTTCAGTGTCTGATGACGAATTTCCCCCACGAATCATTATCACTCAATTCTGCAAGTGGTTCTGATTTACTATCGCTGTTCTCTAGCTGGTCTAAAACCACTTTTGACCTAAAGGGACGCTTTTTGGATGTCATGGACATTTCTCAGTTTCCAGGCAGAAAGAACAGTAAAAATGCAGGCAGGGCGCTGGACAAAGCACTAGGGACAAAATGTATGTGAAATGGTTTGATACAGTAATGTTTTACTATGTGATTTTAGTGAATGTCACTTTTTGTCATTTTCAAATTTCCCGTCGTTCCGTCCTCTGTACGTCCCGACGCTCGCAGGGAACGGAACCCAGATGACAGATGCCGGCATCCACCGGATTACATTGCTGGGGACACTGCAGGAGGGACATTGCGGGAGCGCAGGACAAGGTAAGAGAAGAACAGATGCAGAAGCAACGCTGCATGGTAAGCCCGAGTGTAGCTCGGGGTTGCCGCTTGTGGTACTGAAACTTTACCCCGAGCTACACTCGGGAATACCGCCAGGGAGGTTAAATTCCAAAGTCAAGCGTTTCGTGTTTTTAATATTATGTTAACGGTAGGTGGGGGGGTGGTATTAAAAGTGGGTGGTTGGTGCCATAGCAGCTGAGCTATAGGCAATACTCCAGTCATGTTCAGCATCTCAGAAGAAACTACTACCAAAACAACAAACTACTTGTCAACAATATGCAAAATAAATGAACGTGTGACCAGCAAAAAACATAGATCAATGCTGGTGCGATCCAAGAACTTCTAAGACAGGACAAATCTATAAATTGCTTCAAAGAAAAGCACTATGCCGGATGCAGATGTCACTGTCCAGTCATATTGGTATTTCGCCAATGATATAGTAATAGGTTCAGACACATGAAAGGGGATTTAGAACTGGTTGGAAACCTGACAAGCAGCATTCTCAGCATGAAAACATTTCTGTCAAGCCGTTTCCTCAGGAAAGGTAAACTTTTCATATTGTCCAGCGTGGCAGACGTCTAAAAGAACATGTAAATCCCTACACTATTGTGGAAATCTGAAGGACGTGATCTTATCTCAAGAAATCAGAAGCCATAACGGGGCGATAGAGTTACTGTTGACTTCGACTTGTGCAGGCAGGCAATCAGTAAGTACAAAATTTTCTTCTCATTATTTTAGGGGCTACTGTAGACAGTAGCAGAATAAACAAGGGCTTGGCTTTATACACATCGAACCATGCAGATAGATTCCTGATAGACATTGAACGAATAAACAAGGGCTGAGAACCAGCTTGGTTGCACCTTTCTCTGTGTCCTGAAAAAGGAAAAGTGTTTTGTTAAGTTTGTTTTGTACATACAGGTGCGACAATGAGGTGCTGACAACTTAAGACAAGCTCCTGTTTTTGTCATCATCATCAAAGTGATCAAAACTGCCACTTGTAGGGTACGCATTCCTCCAGGTTAGTGGCCCTATGGGCTGTGAGATTAGTTTTTGTAAGAAGTGTTTATAGACACCTGAATGAGCCTCTATTCAAACTAAAGAAGCTCAATCCAACTGTAACAAAGTGTTTAATGGTTTAACCCTTTTGCTGCCAGAGCTTGTTTTGCATTTTTTTTGCAAACACATGTAAAAAAATCAATTTAGGCCTGAAGATTAGTTAAAACCCCACAAATGGTATGTTTTCTGAAGGCAGAGACCTTGTAGAATAAAATATTGGTATGGTTTATCATGTGCAAATTTTCTGTAAAAATTACACTTGTATTAATTTTAGGGCACAAAAATTCATTATATCACCATATTTTGGTAAAATACAAAATGATGAGGTTGCCAAGTAAATAGATGCCAAACATATCAAGTTTGCTGGAAATAAAGGTGTATAGCAGTGTGCAAGGGGTTAATTCAGAATTGTAAGAGTTAACAGCTGATGTGTTATATATATATGTAAGCTTTTTGGATCTGAGTACAGACAGATCCTCTGCATTTCTACTCAACATGTCAAGCCCTAAAATCGCATGGTCCTTTAAAATGGCAACAAATTTCCATCCCTAAATTTTCCTTGGGCAACATTTGTATGAGCATGCAAGTAAGCGGCAGACAAGTCCCATAATTTTGGGGGAGGTTTTAAGTGCTTGGCTATAGCTTTGTTTTTTATGCTTTTTTTTTCATTAAAACTTTATTTATAGCACATAGGGGACCAAAAGTCCGTACATGATACAACTTTGTTTTAACGGCTGATCAGGGGTCTATTGGGGGCCAGTGTACTGGGGGTCGGCTTGTCATATTTACACACACTCCCATTAGTGGCAGCAAAAAAAGATTTAAGTGTACTTCCACTTTCGCAGCCATATTGGGATAATACCTACTTTATATTTGTTACATGGCCCCTACTTACATAACGTTAAAAGAATATATTTAATAATAGCTATTTACCTTCTTACTTTCTGAAACGCCTATCTAGCTTTCCCTTTCTATGTAATGACTAAGTTCACCTTTAACATAAACTGGCCCATGGAGACAAGGGACCCCAGTAGTGTAAAATGCACTATGCTGTTTGTAAAAATATTGTTAAATGCAAAGTCATACCTGTAGACCTTCTCTGTCAGCTATGAAGCTTGGCCATAATAATCCCAATTGTTACATTCCTACGTCCCTGGTGGATGTGGGCTGGGCCACTAACATAGGGAGTTCCCCCCAGAGGGCTGGTTAGAAACCATGAGAAGTTGAGTTAACTCTTCACACTTCAGTTCATGGGGGTTTACCTTCTTTCAACACTACCACAGTCACCCACTTCCAATTCAATCTGGTCGTCATCATCAGTTCTACAATGAACTCCCATGGGACAACAACTCCAGACCCTGTCCTCTGCAGATGTATAAATACACAATAAATATGGTAGCATGGAAAATGAAATAAAATAAAAGTACATAATAGGCACCTGCCTACATCCTGACTTATTTCCATGCCATGGTCAACAACAAAATGGCCACTGTGCCTTCTTCGGCAGGGGTTCTCCAGCTGTTGCAAAACTACAAGTCCCATCATGCCTCTACCTTTGGGAGTCATGCTTGTAACTGTCAATTTTGCAATGTCTCATGGGATTTGTAGTTTGACAACAGTTGGAGGGCCACCAGTTTGACACTTGTGTTCTTCGGGGACCAATAAAGTGATCATTTCTTTAGCTGTCCTCAAAAAAGCAGGCTCATGGCCATTTTGTTGTAGCCCAGAGTAAGAGATGGTAAGGGGCTACGGCAATATGAGAATCCTAGTGGGGATGGTATGACTAGAGAGTCTTTGCCATGGTGGGAGAGAGCTCATGGCTTCTGTGAAGCTGAGGGTGAGCACCTACTGTCTGTTGTGTCCTGGATATAAGTCAAGGCATGGGAATGTAAACATTGGGAAAAGTTCATCCAGGCTTTATGGGTGAAAGACAAGGTCTTCAGGTATAACAGTTGCATTAAAGTGTTATGAAACCCACAACGGCGGCACAGTGGCTTAGTGGTTAGCACATCTGCCTTGTAGTCATGGGTTCAATTCCCAACCATGGCGCCTCCTGCATGGAGTTTGCATGTTCTCCCTGTGCTTGTGTGGGTTTCCTCCAGGTACTCTGGTTTCCTCCCACACACTCCAAAGACATGCTGGTAGGTTAATTGGCTCCTGTCTAAATTGTCCAAGTTTCATCCCAGGCCATGTGGGATCTCCTGCATGGTAGGGGTTGGGGAAAGACCTGGCAACCTACCCTGTAAAATAGTTGCTAAGATAATTCATGGAAAAAATCACGTACAAGTCACAGTCCATGCAGTCACCAAGGGTCGGATACGACTGAATGGATAGAGAGAGAGAGAAACCCACAACAATAAAATCAGTATGTGTATGTAGTAAAGCATGTTTGTTACACCGTCGAACCTAAGAGGTTAATCCTCTGTGTTTTGTAAAGAGGATGTTTGATCCTCCCCTTCTTCCAGTGCCCCCCTCTTATCTCCTGATAAGACATATCATGTGGAGTCACTCTGCACATGCTCAGTTTGGTGTGTATTGCTAGAGAGGTTCATTTTTTTCTTGAGAGAGTGCATGTGATCAGCACAGGGCCAATCAGCACAGAAGTCAGGGGTTCTGCATCCTCTAAGAGCAGAATCAAAACTCCTCCTACAAGCTTCAACCAGTGCTCTGCTGAACACTGATAGAAGTCACAAGACTGCTCTAATTGCTGATGAGAAAAGGTATTTAGCAGTTTATATTTACTAAAACAATTGCGCTTTTATGTTCTGTGTACTGTGGGAGACCAGATATAGTGAATGCAGGGTCCTGGGAGACCAGATATAGTGAATGCAGGATCCTGGGTTTAGTAACACTTTAAACAGCATTTTTTTTTTTTATAAAAGGCACATTTTATTTGTACTAAAGGCGTTCCCTTTCTGCATGGACCAATTTATGTAAAAGGTGAACTAAACCTTTAAGGAGGGTTCTGGGGAATTACTTTTACCAAACTTAACCATGTTTGTATGTAGGCAGGTGGCATGTTGTGCAGCTGTCATTGCCTCATTGACAGATGATCCCACTCTGGCAAGTGACAAGTGACAGCATGGTAGTGAGGTAGTGATCCCGGTTATCTGCCACACACTGATCACATGATCGCTGGTTACTTCTGGCTTTAGGGTAATTGTAGACGAATGACTTAACCTATGCATTGGGTTCCCAGTGGCTATCTTTAGGGGGTCTGTGTCTCATTGGACACATAGCTCCTTTAAAATTTGGGCAGCTATATTAGACACAGAGGGGTTATATATAGCCCCTTCTGGCTCTTTTTAGCATGCCTGCAGTGTGGGGACTACCTAGATAGGGACAGACACCTGTTGGTCAGGAAACGTGTTGACTTAGCCGAGGGATGATCTACCCACTTGGCGAGCTACCTGGATTTTGGGGGAAGACTTTTGTTGCCTAGCCTGCTATTTGAATTGCTGCATTTTTGACACACCATTCTGCTAGTACAGAATCCCTTCTGGAAGGCCACATTTAGCAGCTCAGGGTACCAGTTTAGGGAAGTAATCCTTGAGTATCCCGATCTATGTAAGTATTGCATTATTATACGGCATTTTGGCAGATGTGTTGAAACACCTGTCCTTTGTTCCATTTCAACTATCAGAAAGCAAATGCATTGTTGCAAATTCTGGCTATCTACTACATCACCGGTCCTTTGCTTGCCTTTATCCGGCCCTTAGGGCACTATTCCCTCCAATGACACCAACGATGGGGCACTATTCCTCCCACTGGCACCAACGATGGAGCACTATTCCTCCCACTGGCACCAATGATGGGGCACTATTCCTTCCACTGGCACCAACGATGGGGCACTATTCCTCCCACTGTCACCAACGATGGAGCACTATTCCTCCCACTGTCACCAATGATGGAGCACTATTCCTCCCACTGGCACCAACGATGGGGCACTATTCCTCCCACTGGCACCAACGATAGGGCACTATTCCTCCCACTGGCACCAACCATGGGGCACTATTCCTCCCACTGGCACCAACCATGGGGCACTATT